CTTTTTTTTTTTATTTTTTTACTAGTTCTCCCTGTTTTATCATCTTCGTGAAACTACCTGGTTATTAGCTGGTTATTACTCATTTTACTCGAAACAGTGAAGATGTTCTCACTAGTCAAAAAAGTGGGTTATTTTACTTTTAATATGTACAGGTTGGGTCTACCTTAACGCAGATGATTAGCGCTGCTTCTACCGGTGACCGCCAACACATCGGCGCCAGTGCTGTAGATGCTGCTCAGTCTTTACGTTCATTTACGTCTGCTGTGCATGGTGTTTGTGCAACTCGAAAAGATACTCCAATCTCTAAGTAAATAGATAAATTGCAATTTTTTTACCACTTCAACACTAACTCGCTCTCACTATTTTTTTGAACTTAAACATTGATTGGAATTATTGCTGAGTTAGCAAATTTAATTTAGTTTGAGCTATTTCTAGGTTTATTGTAAATGCCAGATCAGTAGTCAGCGACTCAGGAAGAGTCTTCGATCGTGTTCGTGAAAAAGCACCTCAGACAGTAATGACTGAAGCAACACGAACAGCCACTACTTCGTTACGACAATGCTTAGCTTGTCTTCCTGATAATCAGCATGTAGAAAAAGCGATTGAATTAATTCAAACATTTAAAGTTAGTTTTAAACTGTAAAAGTTTATGCAGAGGAATATTTGTTTATATAAGACGATTACTTTTCTAGATATCTACTTACTTCAAGACTTTGCTTCAACTTCACTTTAGGTTTGTTTCTTGTAATGTTTTAGGTGTCTGAAACGGCAGTTCCAGTTGATCTTCGCGGGTCGGCTTCTCGATTAATTGAATCCAGTTCACAGTTAGCTGTGAAACTTGATACGGCTCAACAAGCAGCTGCAGTAGAAGTCTTTGTACGTTCGTATACTGAATTTCATACGGCAGTTACACAGTCAATTCAACAGCAGCCTGTAAGTCTCATTCAAAGTCGGTCGGTTCTGTAAATCTCGATATAGATTAGATTCGTTTCATGTGAAGAACTACAGCTAAAAAATTCTGTGTGAAAAACATTTTTTTTTTTTGAATTTTTTTAACCTAAAGTATTGGATTTGTTTTTAAAGTTTTATTTGCAGAATGCGGCAGAGCGACAGCAGTGTTTGGGACATCTGGAAAATGCTCGCAAAGAGGCTGTTAATGTAGTTTCGCATTCTCATACAGTCTCTATCGACTCATCTAATGCAGCTGCCTTGCAGTCGTTGCTGGAATCTACAAGGTCGCTTACTGAGTCTGTAAATGCTATTGTTGAGATATTAGGACGTGAAGCTCCCTGGCAACGTGAATGTGATGCAGCTTTAAGGCAGATTCAGGTTTTTATTTTTGACAATTTAATGAAAATTGACTTAAAAACAAGTGTTTACATGTGTTTTGGGCAATACTTCTTTTTTTGCAGTGAGTATTATAATTTGAATTATCAGTATTACATTTAAGTCTATTCGCCATATTCTGGACCGTGCTGATTTACCGATGAATAACGAGGGGTATTATGAAAGTCTTGACTCAGTAACAGAACAGGCTAAACGATTGGGAGCTGGTATGACCGGAATAGCCAGACATGCAAAAATGCAGGATGCTCACGCGCTATGTGATAGTGTCAAAACAGCAGCGAATGCAGTGTGCGGCTTAGCCGAAGGAGCTGCCCAGGTTTATTTTATTAACGTACAACACTGTGCATGTGATTAAGGGCTATCATTCTCATGCAGTTATTCAGCAAGAGCAGTAATGAGACAGAGAAGCTTTTCATTTTTAAAATTTTAGAACTTTATTTATATTGAAAATATTTTTTCTTTTATATTTTATTGTCTTGATTCTTCTTTCACATCAGTGCGAAAGTCAAGGGTAAAAAGGCTATAAAACGCTTTGGTACTGTTATTTTTTTAAAATAAATTTTAGACTAATTTTTCTTTGACTCGCGCAATTACTGATACTACTTATTATATGAGGCGCTGCTTGTTCAAAAAAAATTTTTTTATTCACGGCTGTGTTTTTTTTTTTTTTGAAGAGTGCCTATTTGGTGGGTGTGGCTGAGGCACGAAGCCAACCGGGGCGTGCGGCAGTTATCGATATAACAAGGTGTGGCCGTACAGTGCAACTAGTCAAACGGATCTGTGAGCGGATTCAACGTTCCGAGTACACGCAACAGCAGCTTTTGGATGTAAACCTTCTTTTCAAGCTTTGAAAATTACCAAGTAAAGAGAAAGTTGCTCGTCACCAGTTAGCAGAGTGATAGTCGTTTATCATTTTTTATGGTCTGCATTTTTTCAGGATGCGACAGTTGTAGCAAAACACACTTCGACGTTAGCTAATCTATGCCGTGAAGCGTCTGAACGAACGTCGAATGTTAGCGTCAAAAAGCAATTCATTAACTGTGCAAGAGATGTTGCTTCGTCTGCTGCTTTACTGATAACATCAGTTAAGCAGTTAGATACTTCATTTAAGTAAGCTTTTCGGTGATCCTTTCCCGCTTGTGCTTCTATTTTTTCTAAAGTTTAGTGGTTTAAAATGAACTCTTTGCTATATTTTTTCTCATCTGAGTGGTATGATGAGTAAAAAATTGATTTTCAAATTTTCAGTCTTAGTTGCCTTTCAGAATATTGTTTTTTTTTTATTTTGGAGTAACTTCTTCTCGAAGCTTTTTGTTCTGGGGGTCGTCGCGTAATATGGCTAAAAGCCAATATCAGGTTATTGAACCTAATATCTTTTAAGGCAATTCTTCAAAGTTTTTTGAGAGAATTTTTTTTAAACTTGAAAAAATTGTATCTTTTTCAAGTTTCATTATGCCGGATTTACTTTCTGACATATACCTTTACAGTGAACAAAATCAACGAGAATGTTCGAATGCAGCAGTTTCGCTTTATACCGCAGCAGATCAACTTGAGACATACGTCGATAATCCGGATTTTGCACCCGTGCCAGCAAAGATCTCCATTGCTGGTCAAAATGCGCAGAGACAAGTTCTTGTATCTGGAAGGCAGATGCTGGATGCTAGTTGTGAAATGATAACGTAATCATCTTCATTTGTCTCTACACATTATATTTTTCGCTTGATTTGGTGCATCGGCCATTATGAGCCAAGGATAGGTTTTTTATTAATAAAAACTTGACTTGGTTTCAGAACTGCAAAAGAATTGGCGGCTTCTCCAACTGACGCTCAAACTTGGCAACAACTAGCTGATAATTCGAATGTCGTTAGTGAAAGCATAAAGAGATTAGTCTCGGCTATTCGCCAAGAAGCACCTGGACAAGTATATTTACTTTTATATTAAAGCTCTTTTTGATAAAATTTACTACTGTTAATTGCTCATGTATTCCGGGATAGTTGGTGATTTTTAATCCAATGAGTATACGGATTTTAGGCTGATTTGGAACAGGCTATTGCAAAATTACGGCATTTAATCACTCAGATCGACAGAGCTTCACTAGATGCAGCGCAGGATCAGTTACCAAGAAGTGCTGTTACTGAGCAAGTTGTTCACCAGCAAATTTTACATGCATGTCAGTCTCTTTACGACAGGTAACTTTTAGTCACTTTTAACTGTTTGTACATTATGCTTCATTTAGTTGTGAAGGAATTGCGGTAATTCTCCCACTCAAAAATATTTCAGAATAGAGTCGTTGAGAGACGCTGCGGTAGGTCGTTCTGAAGGGTTGGGTCATGCTGTACGAGAACATATGGCGGCTATAGAACCTCTCGTGCAATCGTCTATTCAGTCTGCTTCTATAACGTACGACAGCAAAGCTCAGAGTGTTGTGTTCGATCAGTGTAAGACAGTCGTTGAGGCTGAGTTAGAAATGGTGTACGCCTGTAAGGATGCTGGTGGGAACCCAAAGGTTAATTATTTGAGAAAGCGATCTTTGATTAAATGAAGGTCGTGGTTTCGTAAATTTTATATGGTTCTTTGTAGTTTTGTAGAATTTCTTGCAACTGGGCCTGACTTTTGACAAGTCAATCGTTTAAAATTCTTTCTGTTTGATTAGTAGCTGATTTTTAGGCGCGAGATCTTCACATTGCTGTCGATAAAAGTGCTGCTAATTTGCGTGAAGCCATCACTGACTTACAAAGAAATGTCAGCAGAATGGCTTCTGAAGCTGGTGTGATACATGGTGTTGTTGAAAACATTTCACGTTCTATTGCTTTAACTGATGAGGTTACAAGTACTGCAATGGGTTCATTTACTGATGCACAGACACGTATGATTGGTGCTTTGGAAGATATACAACGAATTGCAACAGATATGCCGTTGACAGCTCCAGAATCATTAGGTCCATTAGCGTTGAAGCTTTCTGAACGGTACTCTGAACTTGCTTCCGACTCGAGACTGGCAATTGCGACTCTCTCTTCTCCGAACCTTGCCCAGAAACTCCGAGTAGCTGTACAAAAACTGGGCACATCATGCATTGAGCTCGTGAAAATCGCTGGTCAGAGGCGGTCTTACCCAGAAGATTTGGTTGAATTCTTTGTTTTCTCATTATTTTTAATGCTACTATTAGTGATATCATCATTATTATTATCTTCATTATCACTGTCAGTGTCACTATTACTAATTTATTCATCACTGAACCAGTAATAATTTTGGATGGGTTTTTAAGAAGTTGTTGGACGACCTTTCTTATGGCTCGAAGAGTGTAGTCGAAAGAGGACAAGAAGTACTTGCTACTTTACATGAAGGTTCAAAAGGCACGCAAGCTTGTATTAACGCGGCAAATACTGTGTCAGGAATTATAGGAGACCTCGATACTACGATAATGTTTGCTACTGCCGGGACTTTGAATCCACAGAGAGGAAATGAAAAATTTGCTGACCACAAGTAAATATTTTTTGTTAAAGATTTCATTTGTATTTGTTGTTACTTTTGAAATAGAGGATTGCTATTTTGGAACTGTTTCATTATTCTTATGTTTGCTCTTAAATTTCTAGGGAAGGTATTTTGAAAACTGCGAAAGCACTAGTTGAGGACACAAAGGCTTTGGTTGCTGGAGCTGCTTCTAATCAAGAGCAGTTGGCAGTTGCTGCGCAAAATGCAGTACGTACAATTGTCAATCTTTCTGATGCAGTTAAAAGCGGTGCAGTATCTCTTTTATCTGATAATGCTGAGGCTCAAGTCATGGTTATCCATGCTGGTAAGACCTTTCATAGAGCTGTAGAATTATTATGTTGCTCACTAAAGAGATTTAAGTCGCATTCTCAAATAATAATTCTTCTCGTTGTTCCTCTTTCTTTAGTACGCGATGTCGCTGCAGCACTATCTAATTTAATCCAGGCGACTAAAAATGCTTCTGGACGCTCCCTATACGATCCAGCGATGAATAACCTGAAAGAAGCTGCCAAAGTTTGGATTTTTGCAATTGTTTTTTTCCTGCTTTTTACTCTGCGACAAGTGTTATCCTCGTGAGGTGGTCGTCTTTCCTCTACTATATTGAATTTATAGGTGATGGTTACCAATGTGACCTCGTTACTCAAAACAGTCAAAGCAGTCGAAGATGAACATCAGCGAGGAGCACGTGCTTTAGAAGCAGCTGTAGAAGCAATAGCTCAAGAAGTACGTTTATATGACAGTGGAGAAGCCCCATCGCGAGGTTAGGTTTTCCTGTTTTTTTTTTTTATAAGCTAGGTTAAGCTCGATAAGGCATTTGTTTTAGGAATAACTGTCAAAACTTTTTGGTTATTTGACCAAAATGAGACCTATAACATTTTTTTCGTTTGGCTTTTCTAATTTTCCGGTAAATTCTTCTCTTTTTTAAAAGCACTACGAAAGATGCAAAAAATTCAGGCAAAATTTATTAAGTATTAGTGACACACACTTAGCTTTATTTCGCAAGTTATCAGTAACGTGTATGAAAGAGTTAATCTTTTTTTTTTTTAATTTTTGGGTTTCTAGGTGCTGCAACAGCAGAGGATGTTATAAGATCTACTAAACAACTCACGGTTGCGGCTGCCAAAGCTGCATCGGCAGCTCAAACGATGCAGCAAACCGACATTATTGCTGCTGCAAATCTTGGCAGGCAGGCGGTGTGCGACCTTTTAGCCACCACTCGAGCTGCTGCTCAAAGCGCTGATTCTGTAGATGCGAGGTATCGTAATACTCATTTTTGTCGCTTATTAGTGTCTTTTTTTGATAACGTATGTTAAGGTATCGAACGCTTGACTGTGGTCGTGAAGTTGCTCTACAAGTTAGTTCACTACTGACGACGCTTCAGACTCTGCTATCTCGCCCTGACCAAGACTCGCGAACTGCTTTATTAGAGGCTTCGCGAAGAGTGGCAAATGCAAGTTATTTAGCATGAAATCTTTGCTTTTAGTTCGCCATCAGTGTGACTAATAACATTCATTTAGGCAGTGAGGGATCTTGTCAGCTGTGGAGAACTTTTGAAAGGCGATAGTTGGGTTGACCCTGGTGATCCTGCTGCTGCGGCTGAAAATGAACTTATGGGAGCAGCAACATTGATTGAAGCTGCTTCATTAAAACTTTCGAAACTGAAGCCTCGTGAAATTCATGCAAGTTTTAATAAATTTGATCTTGTGTTTATTTTTGCAATTATACGTCGTTTTCTGCAAATGTTGCAATATTTTATTTACTTGGGATGTCGTATTCAGTAGATTTGCTTGATGATATCCCTTTGTCGATTTAATGTGTGGCTTCGCAGTCATCATATTTTAGCACATGCTTGTGCAGCGTTGATATGTCTGGTATTCTTGGGTTGAAACTGAACAACCAGTATCTCAGACATATCGCCGTTGTGCGTGCTTGGTGCAGCTTCATTTTCTGTCTTTTACAACTGATGGTTTGTTAAAATTTTCCTTTTTAAAATATTTTTGGAGTTACGCAGTTACTGAATTGGATTATTGGAATGGAAGTCTTTCAGAAAGTCAGCGCCGACTCACTCTCGTTTGATGAACAAGTTTTGTCTGCAGCCATGGCAATAGCATCAGCAGTTCAGTTACTAGTGAAGGCCGCATCAGCTGCGCAAAGAGAGTTGGTAGCGCAAGGGAGGTTAGTGAGCTCAGGTTGCTCGTTCAACAAGAAAAGTTTTAAAGTTGTTTTCTTTGATTACTGTCAAATTTTTTTATTAAAACACCTTTTTTAACAGACTGGAACCTCGGCCGGCTTTTTCAAGTGATGACTACCAGTGGTCGGAAGGTTTAATTTCTGCTGCACGTTTAGTCGCTGCAGCGGTTCATCAACTTTGTGAAGCTGCAAATGCTCTCGTTCAGGGACACTCATCTGAAGAAAAGCTTATATCAGCGGCTAAACAGGTAAAAAGGGAGTTTTCTTGTAACTATTACAATTTGGTGGCCCACTTGTAGTTCTTGAACAGGAAAATATGTGTAGGTAGCTTCAACTACGGCACAATTACTGGTAGCGTGCAGGGTAAAATCAGATCTTGATAGCCAAGCGATGCAAAGGCTGCAAAGTGCAGGGCACGCGGTGAAAACTGCCACAGAACATCTCGTGACTGCGGCACGTTCTGCAATCCATGAGGACGAAAGAGCCCTGGTGATTTCGCAGCGGATGGTTTCTGGTATTGCACAAGTAAATTTCCATTAATTACTGTTTTTCTATCAAGCAGGTGAAAATCTTTCAAAACCCTGCCATATTGTTATTTTAATAAGGAAAGTGCGATAAGTATCTGGTTTTCGGTACCATTTAGGTGATGGATGCACAAGAGCAAGTTCTTCGCAAAGAACGTGAGCTATCTGAAGCTCGTGGCAAACTCGCTGCACTCAATAAAGCACGGTACGGAAGAGGTGCATCGCCAGCACATGATAATTAGTGATACTTTTTGTGTGCCGGATAAGTTTTAATCCCTTTTAATTGATTTAATGTCAAATTTGTAGTAGTTTTTACTAAATAGATTTTTCTGCCACTTGAAAGACTTGCTCATTCTATATGACCGTAAAATTACTGACAGTGCTCATTTTAAAAAGTGCCTTCTTTTTTTGGATTTGGAGACAGATCGTGCTATACTGCTAACATATCGTACGTTGTTGTTGAAGTTCGCCATTTTTGCCGTTGTAATATTGTTTTATATGAATTCTTTTGTGACTTCGTCTGCAGTTATTAAGATGAAGTAAATATTCAGATCAGTTACTTATACTTACGTTTTGCTTTTGTAAAATCTAGAACTCGTTTGCAGGCAAGTTTATGAGACATTTTTCAAATGGTACTTTGCAGCATCAAGCACGTGTAGCTGCTGACTGCTAAGTAAAATAATTGTTACGTTCGGCGTTATAGCGGAATGACTTTTGCGCTTTCACCTGCATCCCCTCACTCTCTCCTTAAATTGGGGCGGTTTTGGGGAACTCTTCTAATAATGGCGGGAGTTGGTCATAATTTTGCATTTCCAATAATTTATTCTTTACGCACTTTATGCCGAAATTTTTAGTGGAATTATTTCAAGGCGTTACGTATTTTTAAAAGCGTGCGCCGCAGAAACACGAAAAATGTGCACACAAAAACCGCCCACATGCTGAACGTAATTAGGAAACTATACTGCGTGTGGCGACTACAGTAATGGGCGTTTTTATGGCTGCTCAATAACGAGATGAAGAAAGAGCGGTTTAAAAATGCTGCTGATCAGCACTGCACTATGTTAACTCGGAGAACTATAATTTTGCGGTATTTAAGGAGGCGGCGTACCGAGTTTTGAAACAGTAACCTGAAGTGGATTTATGTTTTCAGAAGTTATTCTATTGACAGAAGGTAGAAGCAGAAAAAACTAGTAACTTTGGTTAGCTTTAATTGGGTAATAATTAGGATTTAAATGTGTTGACGATACGGAAGCAAAATGAGATTTCCCTTTGTGTAATGATGAAAGAGTAGTCGATAATTCTCCTGGTTTTTTTTTCTTTGCATTTTTGGTTTGTTGGAGAATCACACAAACAGAACCGACGTATGTCTATAAGATCATTATTATCACTTACACGTAGTTTTTAGTACAAAAGAAAAGAAAATGTGAATATGACCTTAATTACTGTTGTCTTGATCTATAAATTTAACTGCTCATCAGTACTGTTGTTATTATTGGTGTCGTTTTTGTTACTATGATGTTGCCATAGCTATATCTTCATTTTTCTGTTTTCGTATTCATATTAAGCAGAAAAACGGCACAAATAACAGCAATTGTATCGGGTGAGAGTGGATTTTTTTTCTTGTTGAAATAAAATTACTTTTCTTCCAGACTTACAGACAGCGTTATACAGATTAAATGGGTAGACGACAAAACAGCATAGCAAGCATAGTGAATGTTCATTGTGTTTCAATTTATTTTTTACCACTAGTTTAACGAAATGACGAGAAGCGAAAAGGAAATGAGAAAAAGTGGACAAAAAAGATTGATGATAAGCATTTTGAAATAATTTACTTACACGTGGATAGCGTTACATGACTGAAGCATGTATTACATTGAACACTGCAACACCATATGAATTGACAGTTACATTGCCGAGACTCCAGCTCGCTACTTTTCTGTAAATATATTAAAAAAAGTTATCACTGCATAGATGTATTTTGAACTAAATTATTGTCAGATAAAGCCTTATGGCTCTCTTTAATACAAACGCAGAAACACCCTTTTTATCCCCTTGATGTACTCATGCTAGTTTAGGGCCCACAAAACAACTGTCAATTTCGCTGAACTGTTCGCCTAAGATATCTTGTAAGCGTACTGCTAGCAGCAAAAGTGTTAAGCTTGCACCGTTTGAGTAGTGACCAACGATTTGGATGAACAGAAAAAATTGTTTTGCAGTTATTTAGACTGCCACTCATCCTCATCTCTTTCCAGAATTGTTATTTGATGGATCGTTTTAAATTTCCAAACGAGCCATTTGAAAAGTTCATAAACTGTTATGCACATTTACAGTTAAAGATGCTTCCTTGCAATTGAAGCTTTTTTTTATTACTGCTTTTTACAGTTGATATCGATTTAGTTTAGCTGTTGTAACGGAACAAATTCGTTAAAAGTTTATAGATCTGAGTAAACTTGATTGATCTTTGCTTTTTTTCTGCTCATTATGTAACAGGTCAAAGAAAAAAAGCAAAAAGTTTTCTTAATTTGAAAGGAACTCAAGTACAGAACCCTAATTCGTTTGGCTTTCTTGCGTTGCAAGTGAAAGTGCGTTGCAAGTTTTAGAGAATTAAATTAAAAAAATTTTTACTTCACTTTTCATTGCGCTTAAGGTGATTGCAGTAGCCATAGCTATGTTTTTGTAAAATTGATCAGTGGAGCCTGAAGACTTGTTTGAACCACTTTTACTACTTAAAGAAAGTAGTTGTATGTTCAGTTTTTTGAACTGCTGCATAAGATTTTTAAAAGGGCAAAAATGATTTTTCGGCGCATTGTTGCTGCTGACATTTACGTCTTCTAAAAACAATCAACCTAGTACCGCGGTTTGGAATTCAATTTATGTTAATATGAAATTAAAACGAGATTTGTAAGGCATGAGGACAATGAGCAAATAATATACCTTATGCCCGCGACCGCAGCAGAGCCGTTTACAATCGCCCTTATGATGCGTTTCATTGCTCCATGCGCATACCCGATTTGATGTTGTCGACGTTAAACAAGGATCGGGACTTTCTTCAGTATATATCAGTTCAGTGTTTTTACCTTTCAGATTTTCACCAGTCACTCTTTTAGCCTAAATTTTACTGCAACTGATAGCAACCGTTTTTCGCCATCTCTCTTTTTCTTTTTTAATAAAAGCTTTCCTCTGCAGTGTCTATTTAACATATTATTTTACACTGTAAAGACTGGGAACGGTTGAATGCTTAAGAATTAAAGGGAATGGCGAGCAGGAAGGAGAAAATTCGGAGAAATATTAAAGCTGAAACAAATTTAAAATTAAAGAATTTATAAAAAATTTGACTAGCATTGTTAGATTAAAGTTTCATTTTTACTTGTGAATTTTATAAAAAAGTTTTCCAAAGCTATGATTTTTTTATCACTTTATGCCTTTTCTGTTTCCTCTTAAAACTTGCATTTAATTTGATTTAATTATTTTATGGTCGACAATAAGTTTTAATAGACTACAAGAAATAAAAAATTTCACTTAATTTTTTTTTTTTTATAGTTTAATCTATAATTAAGGGCATTAAATGGTATTAAAAACTAATGGCAAGAAAAAAGTATAGTTTACCCTAAGAAATTTTCTAGTTAAATGTGCAGCAATGGTCCTTAGGTGTGCCGGCTTATGGTAACATGTTTTTTGGTCACAACTTCCACTCACACCGTGACATTTACAGTCCTGTACCAGTGTTTTTCGTACCATCTGTAAATGTACAGTAAATACTACAGATAAGCAGTTAGTAAGAACAGTAGTGTTGAATAAATCAATTTTTCTTTTTTGTTGCTTATTTCAAAATCAAATAAACAACAGCAACAACAACAACAACAAAAAAAAGTAAACAAGACGGAGACAAATAACAACAACAAATTGTTTTAATGATGTGTCAGAAGAGTCTTTTGGATATAATTATTAGTATAAATGCAGTGTTTTAATAACTAATACAATTTTTTTCATTTGTTAATTTCTTTAATTGTTATTGAGAAAATAAAATTTTTTTGACCAAAACATTCAACGACCATTTTCAGAAAATTAAAGGTTTATATCACGTTAGTGAAATAGAGCATTATTTAGTATTATGCGGGAGGTCTCCGTTTCCTTTTTATTAACTTACTATTCGTCCAACTTTTAGATTATGCTTTTCAATTGTCCGTAAAAGTGTACCATCCGATGGTCTTGCCAACATTTTTCTGGCCATCTTTAGGCCATAGTTTATACCCTGTAAGCAGCCGCCCCATTCATAGCTGTGCTTATTCCCTACCGTAACATCGCATGCGCATTCGCTTAGCCAACCGGCAGCACATGCGGTTGCCACGCCCCATGCGGCTCCGGCTGATGACAACGCCCACAGATACGCTGCTTCTTTTGTACCTGAAATATGGAAGGAGTCCGGTCTTTTTCAACTTCCTCTAAAAAGATTTACTCCTCAAGTGACCAGTCTCAAAAATACAAGATTGCAGTATGCTGAATACGGTAGGATGAATTGACCTTTTCAAAAGCCGATTCATCTGTCAACGAAATAATGCGATGGATCAACTTACCTGCTCAGCCTACTTTGAAACAAACTAATTTTTTATTCTTTCTTACTATAGTAGCTAAGAAATTCCACATTTGAAGTCGAAAAAGCTATTTTTATAGACTAAAAGAAGCGATGAGGAAGCTGTAATAGTATAGAATGATATTTTAGGTTTGCCTATGCAGCTTTCAGAAACACTTTTTATTCTTTAAGATTTTTGTTATAGTGTTCTAAAAAATAAAGCAAACATTATTAGGCAGTAAAATTTTGAGATGAAAGCATAGCGACAGCTTTCTCCTGCCTAGTTTCTTTACTCGTCTGTTACAAATTTTATCTGTCTGTTATTGACAGGAGAAGAAGTGTCATTGCAATAATATGTTAAGCAGACAATTAACCAAAGCAACAACATAAAATAAACATTTGAATATTGCTTTTTCTCTCTTTTTTTCTCAAGTTAACATTAGTGGTATGATTATTAGATTTATTACCACGTAGAGCAAACTTTTAGTTAATTTGCTAGCATAAGTCTTAGTATATTCTGCTTTTGTTGCACTTTCTTTTTGTTATTACTGTTTTCTCTCCAAAAAACAAAAAAAGACAAAGATTTTTTAAGCTATAAAAGAGTAAATTAAATAGCAGCGGTTTTTTTCCTCTCTTTTCGTCTTTTTTTTTTATTTCCTTTCAAAACCCTTATGAAACTTACGAGTTCTGGAGAATATTTTTGAAACGAAGACGTTTTTTAGTGGAAGAAGCCTTCTGTTAAGCAAGATTTTAGAATATTACAAAAAATTTTTGGAGAATTCCCGTTCCTTTTTGTCTCAGAAACGAGCCTTTAAACTTGTCAAATTTTAACAAAAAATCTTTAGTGAAGGATATGTAAGAAAGAGAGTACTTGTTGAATAGACAGTAATATAGCAAAAGAAGCAAAAATAGTTGGTAACCAATTAACTCAGATGCCTTCATTTCCCGTTCGTGTCAACATTCCCCTCCCTCTGCTGCTTGTATCACCGACAGTAAGAACACATGAAACAACAAAACAGATGCAACTAATGTTTTGACATTGTCAAACGCGTTATTTATGATCGTTTGGTTTACCGTTGAGACATCTAAAACTGCATAATTAAAAATTTAGTGTGCATCAAATATTTTAAAACCTATTACGAAATTTCTTTTTGTTTTTTCTGCCGTCTTTCTACTTCTTTTTTTCGTTTTAGATAGAAAAAAAATAAGGCAAAACAAATTGGCATCCCGCTTATTAAATTAGGGAAGTATTCGGAGGCAGCAGACGAAGTGACACAACAAAATAAATGTTGCCCGCAGTTGCTGTTGCCTTTGCCTGATAGGGATACAGTAAGTGACAGCAAAAGCAACTGCGACACCCACGACACCCAAATGGTAATTGGTTTTTTTCAATGACTTTGCTGTTAACAACACCACAAAGTAGCCAACACTGAGCAGAGGCGCTTGCTATTTTATTACTGCAGTTGCTTTTCCGCCAACTGCTGCCACTAGCGACATACCAATGCTGTTACCTAAACACTACTATAACTGACCCTTTGCAAGTCCTATTGCTTTTCCTGCCCAAAAAAAAAGAAGTTTTACTCAGAAAAAATCTATTTCTGTCTCTGTATCTTTTTTTTAAAAGTATGCAGAAAGTTTCAATTGTACTTGAGCAAACAAAAATTGTTTTTTTAATACATTTTTTTGTCTAAATTTTATCTATTTCTCCGCCAGTTTTAAAAGCAGTTAAAATTCTGTATTTCAACTGATTTTTTCTTTTCTGAAAAAAAAGTTTATTCTCTTTGTCATTTCTTTCTAACCAACAATGACAACGTTTTAGTCGTAAAGATGACGAAATACCATACTCATCTTACTAGACTACCATTTTTGGTCATCGAATAATCTTGTTACTGCAAGACTAACCGTCACATACAGAGTAGGCAACTGTTGTTTACTGTTACCAAACTTGTCATTACAATTTACTATTGTCTGTTGACCTTAAATATATCTAGCAAGCAAAAAATTGCGAGTTTAGAACAGTTTGCAACTAGTTTCTTAAACCACAGATTTTCGTTTTCAACGCAGCTCTCCAGCTAGTGTGTTGCACTGTTATTCGGAGTTCTGGTTTATCGGTTAAATTTTAACGAAATTTGACAAAATGTCGTTTGAAATCTAAATCTTATTCTGGTGTTTGTAGCTAGAAAGCCTTAATTCTTAAAATTGCTAAACATTCGCGGAATTAAACGTTTTTAAAAGACTTCTAGGGGAGTCTAAACATTGCCAATTCTTAACACTATAAAATGCAAAAATTTTGAAAAAAACGAGTTTGAAAAAGACTCTTGATCTCATCATAGTTAGCTTAAAATATATTTGGTTTATTCTGCTCTTTCTAAAGTTGAAGAAACGGTAATACACGTTTTAAAAGTTAAGCATGTTTATCATGGAAGAAGACAAGGACAGAAGCTACTGTCATTGTTACCAGCAGTCAAAATTTGAACTTCATACAGCATTCTCAGTCTCCGGCGCCTAAATCTAAGCAACTAAAAATTTGTTTTTTTAGGATTTTAAAAATGTACCGCCAGCTGCAATTATTCTACTAAAAAATTAGCTACTTTGAAAAGTTTCAATCTGGTATAGGTTTGTAGAAAAAATAACCGCTAAATTGATTATATCTGACATTAAAAAATTTACCAACGACGGAAAAAAAGAAACCTGAATGTAGAATAGGTGAATCGTGCAATACAGTACTTATTTGGGTACAATCCCATGGATTATAGTACATATGTTCACGGCATTCCTTCATCGCATCCTGAATACCCTCATATGCAGCAACAGCTACTGATGGTTGACTACGGCACAGAATCAGAAATCGTGGATGCGACTTTCGATGAAACAATTCTGCAGAACAACCCTGTGATAGATGGTGCTGTTTATGATAAAGACTACTCTGAAGTACCTGAAGTAGTTTGGCTGGTAGTATCTGACGACGTGCTTTAATTTCATGGTGCTTTCGGAAGCTGATAAAAATCCAGCAATAAAGTAAAAGTATAGTTTTTCTGGAGGACATAAATGCTGTTGCAAACACTTTTCAGTTGGACTAACAAAACGGGTCCAGTGGTAAGAAATAAAAATTTTCAGCTTGACAACAAAATATGGGCCGCCTTCATTAGACCAAATCTTCTGAACTGGTCTCTCTGTTTCAGAATTAAAAAACTTTCACAATTTTTCCTTTTCTCCACTCTTTCCTTACTTCTTGTATCGCTCTTTATTTCACTACATCTCTTCTGCATACCCAACAAAAACGTTTCGCCGTCTGTTTACAGATGTTTTATAGCGCTCTCTCTCGTCTTTTTTTTCTTTCATCCTCTTGTTATATCAATTGTTACTGTAGACAGTTTTTTCGTCATGGAAATGGGAAAAAATGAATAGAGAACAGCGAGGGAACAGGAAAAAGCAAAAGAAGAAGTGGAAGATGAAGGAAAGTGGGGACGAGAAGAAGACGGAGAAAGAATGAAGCGGCTGCACTAAACTACTTTTTAGAATGAAGACATAAAAATTTTTTGGTGGAATTACAATGTAAGAACATTTTTAGCAGTATGACGATTTTTTACGGTTATGAACCTGAATCTAAAGTCCTATGATGAAAAAGTTTATGGTCTTGTTGCCGTTCAGCAACTCTTCTTATTCTCGCTTTTTTTCATCTCAGTGGCCTCAAAAACCCATCGTCGTCGTCGTCGTCGTTGTCGTCTCATAATTGCCGTTTTTGTTTGGTTCTTTGACATAAAAATTTGTTTTTAACGTTTCTGCTTCTGTTCTTCTACACAGCAGTAGGCAATATGATCTACATCAAGATCTGTGTTAGATTTGGCGATAAGCTCGTTAATTTATTCAGGATACTTACGCAGCCACGTAAAAGCTTTAGGGTTGCTTTACCAGACATTTTACAAAAAGAAACTTAGTACGATAAAGGAGGCATACTGTTTTGCAAACCGTAGTTGTGCTCGAATTTTTAGCGGCTGAAAAAGCAAACTAAGCATTAAAAGCATCTTGTTGCTACCACTAACATAAACAGTCGTTACTTTAATTCAGAATAATCTGAAATTTTTTCGACACATTTTTTCAACATGTTTACCGCAACTGCAGTTTATAACTAAGATACCAGTTTTACTTGCTTTCAACTGGATAATTTGTTTCTTATTTTTTTTCTTTTCTGAACAGTAAAAAAAGAAAGAACTATGAATACTGACAATTTAAACTCAGTAACTCGCCAACTTATTTCGTAAAAATTAACAGATTTGGTAAAAGCAGTTACTGTAATCTTGAAATTAGCTAGAGTGTTTTTGAAAAAAAAGTAGTTTAAATGAAAATGTAACTAAATTTTGAAGAACGGTCTAGACTTCAAGCTACGGTTATTATGAAGAAACTACTTCTACCTTTCTTTGACGTTTCTGGGTAAAAACCTTAAACATTAATTGAAGCTTTAAGCCCCGAATTGTAATTTGCCAGTGCAATTGCTCTATTGCTGGACTACCAAATGACTTCGCTGGTCACTGTCGTTGTGATTTTAAGAAACCTCAGTTAGCTTTTAGCTTTTTTAGAGTGACTGGAATGGAAAAATCTGCAAATCTGGGACTTCAAATAATAACAAATTTGATATGACATATTAACATCGTTTAAGTGATCGCATCGCCGCTTAGGTATGAGAAAACAACTTGAAAGATTAAAAACTAGTACTTCGTTACCGTAGCCATCGTTTTCAACCAAGTCTTTGCGTTTTCCTTTTTGGTACTGTCATGTTTCCTTTTCACTTCCTCTAGTTTCTTCTATAAACCGAGTTTAATTTAAGCTTGCTGTTTTCGACCCTTAAAAACTAGTTCAATAAACCAGTTCAAAAATTAAAATTTGGTTTTTCCTTCAAGATTTTTTATTTATTTTTATTCATTTTCTCCTAGAAAACAGAGGTCATTGGAAATGACCTTTACATAACGCTTGTCGGTTTCATTTTAAATTGTTTAAAATTGCTCCTTTTCTTTGTTACCTTCATATTTCACCGCGATAAAAGAAAGTAAAAAATTTAAAGTAACGATAAAAATTTTATTAACAAATACAATTAAGATTAGTAAAGGTGTGTTCAGTGCCTTTGCCGGTAATCTAAAATTTCCCATTTTAATTTCAAATAATTTTCTTTTGCTTGTTTTTCTCATCACTTAGTTTACCATTAAAATAATTCACATTAATATTTTTGCATAAATACGATACTTTTTCTATAATAGTAAACATGAAACATTCTCCTTCCCCTATTTGTACTTTTAAAATTATATAATTTATAAATAATTTTTTTTCAATTTTTTTAAAGTCAGATTTTTAAAACTTTCCGCTATTTCTCAGTGTACTGTAGTTTTCCAGCTTCAGCCATTTCAACAGTTGTTTTGAAGACCATTCTCATTAATGTCTGAAACAGTACCTGTCGTTAACTATGCTATTCTTAGAAAGAAAACAATTCATTCTATTTCAATTCTATATTAAAATTGCTGTATATCTCTAAATGATTCTCAAGACATACTTATACTCCCAATAATCTTCGTCATCTATAGGAAAGAGTCGGGGTTTTTTAAACCTTACTTCAAAAAGCTACTGTGAAAATAAACTTGCAGGTTGTTTAGTTGTGTGTAAATGTTCCAAGTCTCAGTAGGAGTTTTTAAAGGTGGTAGTAAACTCAAAAAAAAAAAAAAAAAA